ATGCTCCGGTGTCACCCCCTTCTCTATGTCCTGCCTTTTTGTGTTTATAACCCCTGTGTGAATAAGTAAAAATTATGATTTGATTTAAAAAAAATAAAAAAAAAATTTAAAAAAAAGGTGGCCTACTGAAAAGGAACTGGAGATGCCTGGTATCCCTTGCTTTAGTGTTGGTAAAGGGCTTTTAAGGCTCAGGGAAATTGCAATGCTAAAGTGGGTACCTTATATAAAACCTAATCCTCCACAATAGGCAGGCCTTTCACTAATCCTATAAGATGCAAAATGGAGAGAAACGAACCAGTACATTTGAAGAGCTTGCCCTTTTCCTTGTGCCAGATCTTAGGGTTGAAGACGCTGCTACTCAAGGTGGAAGGATTAAATGCAACGGGTTTAACTGGGTCCCGGAGGTAGCAGAGGCCATTCGGCAGCATTGAATTGCCAAAGACAAAGTGATTATAGTTATCACAATAGGAAGCATAGGCAAAGCAATGTTCACAATAGCCTAACTCATAATGGTCAGCACAGGCAAAGTGAACTTTATAGTGGCATGACTTGTACGGTCCTTTGGTACTAGTTAATCAATCATGAATGAAATTGATAAAAGCATACTGAAATTTTGTTTGATACATGGGAAAATTCTCAGATGAAAGAAAGGGTACATTGGTTCACAGCAAAAGGAAATCTCTGCCCGTGAATCACTGTCCAGACTTGAGCCAGTTTGAAGACCCCTTGAATGAAGAGAAGGCCAGGTCTCCTTGAGGAAGGACCTTGATAAAACACCTAAAAGATTTTAGTTAGCCTTTACCCAGTCCTTCAAAAAGGGGGCCTACTGAGTTTTACAAAGTAACTGTACATTGGAGGAAAGAAAGCAGACTCTCCAGGGTCTATAGAGTATTGGCTCTGGATTGACACTGATTTGGGGGGACCTCAAGAAACATCATGGCCCTCCAGTTAAAGTGGAAGCTATGAAGGTCAGGTGGTTGAGTTTTGGCTAAAGTCCAATTTATGATAGGTAGGTCCAGTGTGTACCTGAACTCATCCTGTGGCTATTTCCCCAGTCCCAGAATGTATAATTGAGCTAAATATACTTGGGAGTTGACAGAATATTGGTTCCCTAACCTGTGAAATGAGGGCTGTTAAAGTTGAGAACACTGGGTATAGATTTGCCTCTGGCAAGGAAAATATTGAATCAAAAACAGTGTCACATCTCTGGAGGAATTACAGAAATTAGTGCCACCATCAAGACTTGAAAGATGCAAGGGTGGTGGTTCCCACCACATTTGCCTTTAATTCACTGTGGTGGTTTGATTAAAAATGGTCCCTATAGGTCCACAGGGAGTGGCACTATTAGGAGGTGTAACCTTGTTGGAGTAGGTGTGACCTTGTTGGAAGAAATGGTGTCAGTGTGGAGGCAGGCTTTGAGGTCTCATATGTTCAACCTAGGTCTAGTATGGAAATCTCCTTCTGCTACCTTTGGATCAAGATGTAGACATTTTGACATCTCAACTTCTTCTCCAGCACCATGTCTGCCTGCATGCTGCCATGTTTCCTGCCATGATGATAGTGGGCTAAATGTCTGAACTGTAACACAACCCTAATTAAATATTTTCCTATATAAGAATTGCCATGATCATGGTACTTTTTCACAGCAATAGGAACTCAAACTAAGACAAAGTCCTTACTGGAATAGACACTCCTTCTGGTTATGGACTCTCCTTTTCTGTATGTAATTCTTCTGCCAAAATCACCATCCATGGATTTACAGAATGCCTTATCCACTGTCATGATATTCCACACAATATTACTTCTGACCAAGGTACTCACTTCACAGCCAGAAAGTGTGACAGTGGGCCCAGAATCTCTAAGTCCGCTGATATTACCATATTCCCCAGCATCTGGCCTGATAGAAAGATGGAATGGACTTTCAAAGTCACAGTTACAGTGCCAATTAGGTGCAAATGGTCTGGAGAACTAGGACAACGGGTTCCCTAGAATGTGGTATAGTCTTTGAATTAGTGTCCAGTATATGGATTGATCTCTCTCATAGCAAGGATCCGTGGGTCCAAGAATCAAGAAGTGTAAAAGAGAATAGTTACACTCTTTATTACCCCCAGTGACCCACTAAGGAAAAAAATGCTTCTTGTTCCCAGGACCTTAAGTTCTGCTGACCTAAAAGTTTTCGTTCCAGAGTGGATAAGTCTCCTGCTAGGAGCAACAACAAATATTTCATTGAACTAGAGGCTCAGATTTCACCCTGGCCACTTCGGGTTTCTGATGCTTTTAAACCAATATGCTAAAAAAGAAATAACAGAGTTAAGAGGGGTGATTAATCCAGATTACCATGGAGAAACTAGATTGTTTCTCCACAACGGAAGTAAGAAAGATTGTGTCTGGAGTGCAGGGGATCCTTTAGCTCTAAAGTTTAGAGTGTCTCTTGGTTCTACCATGTCCTGTAATTAAAGTCAAGGGGAAACCACAGCAGTCTAATCCAGGCAGGATATTAAAGAGCATGCACAGATTGTCAAGATTGAAGGTATGAGTCACTCCTCTAGGAAAAGAGCCAAATCTGCTGAGATGTTTGCTGAGGGTAGATGAAGAGCAGAATGAGTAGCAGAGGAAGGTGGTTATAAATACCAGCTAATGTCACATGAGCAGTAGCAGAAATAGGAATTATAATTGACATAAGTGTTTCTCTCATTTTGCTAAGAATGCATTTGTGCAAATATATGTGTTTTATTTTCTTGATTTTGTTGTAATGTAACATCAATTAAGAAAATATCTATTGTTATCTTATTTAAGTTTGAGATACTAAAAGAATGTCCCTCAAGGGACATTGCCACCTATTCTAAATTTATAATGTGTTTGCAGTTGTATGAGGAAGAGTCATATCATGCTAGGCATAGTTATGACCTGGTTAAATATATAATACATATTGTACATGGAACAGTTATACCATGTGTATTATTATGACCTGCTCATTGTTTTCATTTGGAAATTAATCATGATCTAAGGAGATATGATTGTGTGTCAAGTTGGCATGGGATGGACTTATGATGGATGTTCTTGGTTGTCAACTTGACTACATCTGGAATTGACTAAAACCAAGATACAGAGTGGCACACCTCTGAGGCACTTTTGAGAAAATCCACTTCTAATCCAGATACTAAGGTAGGAAGACTTGATCTTAATCTGGATTTTGAGGTGGGAAGACACACCTTTCATCCAGATCTTTTGAGTTGGGAAAAACAACCTCTAATCTGAGTAATGTCTTCTTCTAGAAGTCTATATAAAGACATGGAAGAAGGCTGCTTTGCTCTTTGCCTGCTTGTTCCTGTCCTCATCAGCAAGTCTATTTCTTTATTGTAGGTATCAGAATCTACTTTTTTGGGATTCCATCATACACTGAATACTAGATGAGACATTCAACTTCTCAGACTGAACAACTTCTGGATTTTTGGACCTTTCATTCATAGGCAGCCATTGCTGGATTAGCTGAACCTCAGCATATAAATCATTTTAATAAATTTCCTATCTGTCTATTTATCTATCTATCTATCTATCATCTATCTATCTATCTATCTATCTGTCTTCTATCTTTCTAGTGCTCTCTGGTTTTTCTGGATAGTATAGGGTGGAGGTAATACTGAATTCATATGGTCTTCAGTCCAGAGATGAGGGGGTATTTAAAGGACCCAATCCTACTGAGGGAGAAAGGTCTTGCTCTATCACTGACCACATTTCTGCAGGGAAATCAGGGCTGATAGCAGAGGTGGTTCTAGTGGTTGTTGTAGAAGCAGTGGTTAAAGTCATGCTTCTTGGGGTGTGCCTCATCATCCTCTAGTGAGTGCTGCCCTGAGAGAGGGAGAATGTATGAGTAAAGCAGCCACCTGATGCTAAATATGAGAGGCCCAGTGCTGGGGTACTAGAAAGGGTCTGGAGGCATAGGCACAGGTAAGGGGTTTGTAGGCAGTGAGAATGCCACATGGTCAGATGCTGACCTGAGCTGTCACTCATGTAGGAAGAAGTTAATTTCAACAAAGATATCTTGGGGATAGTGCATATCTTTCTCTCAGTTACCCATCCAGCCTCTGATCAGGGCATTGGGAAGGTGGCTGCTGCAGAGTGTTCCCTGAGATGTCCCTAGTCTCTTCACTGAGAGTGAGATCCTGTGGGAAGAAGAAAGCAAAGACAGCAGTGCACAGAGATTATGTAGACACGGTGTTCAGTTAGTGTCTCAGGTGAGTGAAGTAGCATCCCTGCACAGTCTCACTTCCTTTTGGACCCTCCTTGTAATGGTCACAGAATGATCTGCCTAGCATGGTCAGCCACCTAACCCTATCATAAAGCCTTGTCTCTGCTAAGCACCATGAAGCTCATGATTTCTTCTGTGCCAACATCCAGATGTGTGACTCTACTGTGAGCTCTCTCCCCACTTTATGCCACGAACCACTCTCTCTCTCTCTCCATCCCCCTCCCCCTTACCTCCTCCTCTTCTTCTCCTCACCCTGGACCTTTTCTTACTCTGTCCTCTACTTGAATTCTGATCATCTCTGGTCCTCATGTTCCTAGCCACTAGATTCCCTTTATCCTTGACGACGACCCTCAAAATGAGTTTCCAGATGCACCCATTCCCTTTTCCTCCACTTCCTGAACAATCCTGAATTCTCACCATGAATGGAGATGGGCAGACATCACAGGCTCTGGGAGCCTTGCGTGTTCTGTGTGCTGCTGGACTCTCCTTCCAATGTTCTCCATTCACTGCAATCACAAATCTCTCACTCAGCCTTCCCAGCCCCCTGTACTGAAGGCTGCATAAGGAGTCACCCCAACCTTTCCTTCCTGTCCTCACCTCAGCCTCTAGCTGTTTATTTAAGTTAGTATGTGCTTGTCATGCACCAGGGACCATGTGCAGAAGTGACTCTATTACTACATATGGACCACTTTCATGGGTGCCAGGGATACTTCTGGACATGGAGCCCTTCCCGTTTCTGTTACCGAAGACTGGCTGATGCAAAGGTGAGAACAGGAATAAAACTATGCAATGAATTAGGACATGTCGACTGGATAAGTGAATGTGCAGACAGCTGATGCAGGAGAGGAGCTGCTGACATGTAGGTAATGTTTGGAGAGCTCTCAGGGTGGGAGAAAGCAGCCTCCATGAGTCTGTTGGAGGAAGGTGCCTCAGGGAGATAGACTTGGGAACAGTGTCTAATGACTCAGAGGCAGAAGCTGGCTTAGAGTGTGGAGCTGCTAGAAGGGCTGAGGTTTAGAGCAGAGGGAGTCAGAGGGAGGGCAGTGGAGGATGCTGACCTACAGGGTGTAGTAAGAGCCAAAGCCTTTGAGAGGAGCAGAGCCATGATTGGATGCCCATGTTAACAGAATGCCAAGGTTGGCCTGCTCAGAACAGGCCACAGTGGGTCCTGGAAGAGCTGCAGGAAGAGCATGTCGGTCACCGTCACTGGATGCCTGAGGAAAACCATTCACAAGGAGTACAAGTTTCTTTCGGCTCATGATTTCATAGATGTCACCGTCGTTTGCCACTGCCATGGGGCTGTGGTGACACAGGACACCATGGAATTAACATATGGTGGAGGCCTATTCACCCCACGAAAGGTAGGAGAGTCGAAGCAGACACATAGAGGGAAATCAGCCATGGTTCCAAGAGCCATTTCAGGTGTACATGCCCAGTGACCTCTCTGTTCCACTCCATCCTTCCCCTACACATTCCATTACACTCAGACAGCCACCAGCTGGGGGCCATCATTAATATACACGGTTTAGGGGACATTAGATCAAAGCTGTGTGCTCTGAAGGGGAAGAGCTACTTGGCCTCCTAGAGGAGGTGGAGACACAGGCAGCTGGTGAATTGCATGGGGATGTGTGCAGCTGGAGAATTGCATGGGGGTGTGTGCAGCTGGAGAATTGCATGGGGGTGTGTGCAGCTGGAGAATTGCACAGGGATGTGTGCTGCCTCAGGTGGAAACTCAGATGAACAGGGATCTAATGGCTCTTGATAGGAAAGAACTGGAGCCCTGCCAAGGTGCTTCCTGAGAACCAGGAGTGGGGGTCCGTGCTCCGGCAAGGGGCTGGTGAGAGGGGAAGGTGTTAATGCCAAGGGGTGTCTGCTGTGCACATGGCAATGTAAGGCAGGTCTGAATACAAGCCTGTGGAGGGAGGAGAGGGCCAGATACAGCTTGTCAATGCCATTCTGAGAAATGTGACACCCACAGGGGTGGGAACAGTGAGAACAGAAAGCAAGTGAGAAACACCGCTGTGCCTGCGGACCTTAGCAACAGCAGATGTTTGTTTATTACTTGTGATAATTTATTTGAGTTGTTCTTGGATATTTTTATAAGGCACTTTCAGCATATAAAAGTAAATGTAAAAACTAAAACTAAGAGATTAAAGAGAGAGGGGGGCTCAGAGTTTAAAAAATAAATCACTTACTGCTCTTGCAGAGTACCTGGGTTGGGGGCTCCAGAACCCACACAGCCTTTTGTAACAGTTCCTGGGCCCGATTTTTCTGGACCTCTCAGGCAGCAGGCACACACATGGTACACAGACCTATAGTCAGTGAAAACATGAACCTATTCATACATAAGCAAACACTTTGAATTAAAAGTTAGCATCCTGGGGCAGAATGTAATTTTCGTGGCTATTCATCTCTTCCCTTATCATCATCTTAGTTGTATTACTGACAAACAGAAGTCGGGCTTAGTTGTAGTGAACCACGTGACTCTGAAGAGCACATGCTCTCTGAGATGCTGAATCTAAGTGTGTAACAGGTGTGACCGCACACCCTCATTCACAATTGCCTTGATACTTGTGCTCATGTGGAGATTGGTTTCTGGTCTTGTTTGTTGTTCTTTGCTTCGTCATCAGAAAACCTGAAATTTAATCTGAGCAATTTTGAAATATGCAGCTCAAGTGTACTCACTGTGTGGTGTGGATGATTTCCAGCGCTTATCTCTCCTCTTAAACGGCCACTTGCAGTTTCACCAATGTGCTGACTATAGTCCTTTCTGTGAGCTGGGACTTTTCTGATTGCAGTAACTTGCCACAATGGGGATTGCGCATAAATTACCACAGTGGAGTAACCACCTTTCTATGCCTGTCTTGTGTAATAACATCCAAATTTGTCTGTTTTTGCAAATAGTGAAATTTTCTGCTTTTTAAATCTTCTCCTCTTCCTCCTCTTCCTCCTCCTCCTTTTCCCCTTTCCCTCCTCTTCTCTTTTCTCTCTCCTCCTACTCTTCTCTTCCTCCACTTCTCTCCATCCATCTATCCTTTCCAGTCTTCCGCTGATGTAGATTCAGTTTGATTCAGTTTCGTTCCATTTCTGGGCTTCAATGGCATGGTGCAGCTGTCTCCTTGAGGCACTGACTCCATTCCCTTTAGCTGTCAGTATTTCTAAGAACAGGTCTGCATTGAAGCCATTGCATTTTTAGTTTTTTTGCAGACTCTCCATATAAATTAGCACAATGGTTGTGCTAAATTGTGTCCCCACAGTAGTGTGGATTTTCTTTTCCCCACACCCTTGAAACACTCATCTTTTCTTAAAAAAATTAATTTATTTGTACTTTATGTATATGGATTCTTTGTCCATGTCCAAGTAGAAGTCATAAGAAAGCACCAGATGTATATGTATGTGTATGTATATGAATATGATGTATCTGTATATGATGTATATGATGTATATGTATGTGTATGTATATGATGTATGTGTATATGATGTATATGTATGTGTATGTATATGTATGTGTATGTATATGATGTATATATAT